ACAAGTTACACAGAAAAAGATCAGCTGTTTGGAGGTGTGATATCTGTAGATGAGAGCCAAGTTAGGAAAGGGGGTTAGCTATTGAAATAGCCAAGTTAAACAAGAGACACTTAAGGCTAAGTAGCCTCCCAAAGGATTGATAAACCTTCACATGGGGAGTGTATGTGGTTGAGCCATTAGCCCCAAATGGTGTCTTGTTTAACTTGGCTTTTAAGATAACTAGCCCCTGTCTAACTTGGACTTCCCTGATGGTATCCCACCTTTACAGGGCTGACCCTCTTTATAACTTGGCTTTTTGTATTTATAAAATGGTTTTGATCAGATAGCACTCTCTCTTTTTTTTTTTTTTGATTCAGAAGAGAATTAAGCTCGATTTAGAAAAGAATTAAGTTGCAGGAGAGAATATATTAGTGTCGCATTGAGAGACAAGCTGATTTTAATAAAACACAATTGTAGAATGAAGAAAAAGGAACATGGCCAGAACAGGATTTTAACTCACAGCTTGCTCTCCCACAAGTAGATTTTGTTGCCGTAAGGCTATATGAAGAATAGCTGACTCTCTTTTTTGCGTAACCAAACGAGCCCATCTAGTCCCTTAAAATGAATACAAATGCAGAAAATGCAAAAAGAAAACCGACATTGCACAAGTGCTAAAAAACTTGAATTTGAATGTGCACTCATGTCTGTGCACTGACACAACTGCAAGAAAATCAGACAATGTAAATAACATATGGTTTGTTTTTCCAACAAAAAGAAAGAAGGAAGGCAAGGGGGTTTAATAAGTTTGGCAAGTTATCCTTACTAAACTATCATACTCCAAAAGGGACATTCTGTGTATCATTCCAGTTCTACGGATGCACCAAGAGCCAAATCCTGGTCTTACTGAAGTCAATGGGAGTTTTGCCATTGACTTCACTGAGACTAAGATTTGGCCTCAAAAGAATTAATTCCAACAACTGGAGTTGTCAGGGCAGTAACAGATTTCTCATATAAGTTTTGTCCTGTGTGAATAGCAAAAGGCTCGTTTTTTAGCTTGGCTAAAGATGCTGTTGTGACTCTGAATGCCTGGGGTGTGGATGTATGAGTGTGTCTGCAGGGAAAAGCATTTGCAGAGTTATGTACATTTTGATGAAGGGCAGGGACGGTGTTTTGCTCTGTGTTGGTACGATGCTGGGCGCAGTGGGGCCCAGAGCCTGATGGAGGGCTCTGACCGCTCCTGTGCTATAAGCAGTTATTCATAATGGTGTTACAGAGCTCATAAACAGTGTTCTGTATCTGTGGTAGATACAGTAAATGGGTAACATTGTTCTCATGTAGCAACATATGCTTTAGATAATTAGGTAATGCAGTACTTTATAGACTTTGAGAATTAAAACAGGAAAGCGCATTATTCCACACTGCTCCACAGCTCGTACCCAAGCATTTCTGTATGTGACAGAAAAATGCAATTTGTAGTGACACAGCCAACTATTTTGCTTTTTCTTTAGAGCAGCGTCTTCTAAAGTTGTGTTAAAATGTCCATAGAGAAGAAAAAAGTACTGCCTGTTGTGTACAGCTTTCTGTCCTTTGGTGTATTCTTATCCATTCAAAATCATCTTTGTCAGCCAAAAGTATATGAAATTGGTGGAAAGCAAAGGTTTTTTTATAAAACATTTTAACTTCCTATATCTGTATTATACAAAGTGTTTTTTTACACAAAGAAAACTATCCTCTTCTAATGATCTGATTTTCATTGAAAGAAAATGTGTTACTTCAGTGTTTCTACCACAGTAGAAAGTGAAAAGTGTATTGCAGCAAACTGAGGAGGAAAAAGCACAAAATCCCAGTGAAAATTATATGACATTCAGAATAATGCAGTGGAGTGTGAATGAATAATAGACCATTGCAAGCAGTGGGGGGAAAAACCAGCAGGATCTTTCCCATATTGTGTAAGACACCAAAGTAAAGCTGCTTGCTTTATTTAGAGGGAATCATACTGTAAGTTCGATTTATTTTCTTCATCTTGGTAGGTAAAACCACTGTGAGAGGGAAGGCCAAGGGGAAACTCTCACGTTAATGCACTTCTCGTTTTCTTCCAGGAGGGTACACAACTGCTACAAATGCCGTCAGTGCAGCTTCACAGCTGTTGACACACAGTCACTACTAGAGCACTTCAACACTGTGCACTGTCAGGAGATGGACGTCACTACAGCCAATGGGGAGGACAGTCATGGCGTTTCATCTATCAAGGAGGAGCCAAAAATTGACCTCAAGGTCTACAGTCTGATTAATCCGGACCCCAAAATGGGGGAACCCGTATCTGACAGCATAGTGAAGAGGGAAAAGATAGAAGATAAGGAAGTGCTCAAGGAGAAAGGTTGGACTGACGGTCCCAGTGATGATCTTCGCAATGTGACCTGGAGAGGAACAGACATTTTGAGGGGGAGCCCATCATACACACAGACCAGTCTAGGCTTATTGACCCCAGTGTCAGTTGGCCAAGAGCAGCCAAAGCCTTTAAGGGATAGTCCAAACGTAGAAGCTGCCCATCTTGCGCGGCCCATTTACGGCTTGACGGTAGAGAGCAAGGGCTTCCTGCAGGGCGTGCCAGCTGGAGCGGCGGAGAAAGCCGGGCAGCTCACTCAGCCCTACCCTGGGTCCGGCGACAGCAAGGCAAAGGACGAATCCCAGTCCCTATTACGGGTAGGAAGCTCTCTTTTTTTTTTTTTTCCTCGCTTTTTATGATTACATGTGTGTTATGTTTAATTAGGCAAACAAATGGTTTCTTCAGCTCCACAGTAATGTGGTTGGGGTTTTTTCATGCATGGGGGGAAAAAAAAATCAAGGAAGACTGAAAGGCTCAAACTTGTAAAGCTAAACTGGCAGGTAAATGTTCCAAGTGTTTGCATAAAGCAATGTATATATTGATGTAGTATTAGTAAGCAAGTGCTTCTGCTTTTGCTATTTAGCTCTGATTGAATTTTGTTTAATCATTCCTAAATGTGCAGGTTGATGATGCATTTGAAGAAGGAAGTTTTAGAACCCCAGAAGGCTGCACATCTGTTACACTAAAACAACTAATCACCTCTTAAATTTTGTGGTGGTGTGACAGTTCACACTTAAGCAAGATTTCACATTATTAAATACCTAAGAATATGAAACCAGAGTTAAATGTTAATAAAAAGTAACCTCTTTTTTTGTAAGGCAACGTAATTATATATCAATTTTGACACTTTTCTGGTTGCCTTGGAAGCAAAAGAGAAAGAAAAAAAGAGAAAAGGATGGAGCTTGGGTGATAAGAAAAGGAGAATATTTGTCACATCAAAGAATTCCTATTGTGTCTTTTTTTTAAACAAAAGAACCTACATATAAGGAACTTCCTCTTTCATCAAGGTATGCTTTTTCCACTGTAGAGAAATCTGAGGTTAGAAAAGCTCTCAGATTCTGAGGAGCTGAACAGGGGGACAAATCAGTGCCTTTCCCCTGGAGTTATCACTGTATGTTTTCAGGGGCTGCTCCCTATTTGAACTTCTACAAACTTGCTACATGAGCAGTCAGTCCGCAGACAAACCTCACAGGAGTGGAAGTGATGATCGGCAATTTTGATTTATTGTCTTTTATAAGAACATTTATGACCATAATATCCATTACTGTAAGAGTGAGCAACATGTCAGAAGTCAAAAGGCAAGATAAATGTTTTATTCCATGGTCTGCTAAGATTATACATAGGTATATCTGTCTCTGTATACATATATAAGTCCTACAGACTCTTTTTAAATGAAGTCAGTGGTCTTAAAAATATTGCAGTTATTCTAATTATAAAATACTGTGTCTATTGCTTAAAGCCTTCATGCAATTTAGGGGGACCACAGTCTTTTGTACCGTACAGGTCACGAATAGTTACACTTAAAATCTGATAACAATATGAGTATGGCAGGTTCCCTGTTGCAAACCTAGGTGTGTGCTTACTGTGAATGGCAGGATTATATTTCTCTCCTCCATTTGGAAATATCTATAAAAATATGCACATATATCCAACTAGGAGTGGAATTCGTGCTGTACATATGATGCTAGTTACATCCCACTTCGATTCTTGTAGTGATTCTTAGCAGTGCACAGACATACTGGCCAGAGGAGCCATTTATATATTGTGTTATCAGAATACAAATAATTTTAATTTAATTTTTGACTACTAAAGAATGAAAAAAACCAAAAATCTGCAAAGGGATGTGGGAGTATGCAGCATCAGCTATATAAAGGTCTAAATTTGGTTGTTAGCTGGAGCCTAAAATCTTAGTAAGTGGTAAAATAAGGCCATTGTATTATCAGTTTTAGCCATTAATGAATGTAGAAGGGGAAACTGTACACTGGCTGCTTCTTATGCCCTTTTTAAAAATAAGTTCAGACACTTTTTTGAAGTCTTTATATGAAAGCACTAATTTATTTTTTTTTTTAAATCAGTATTTTTATCACTTTGGAAATATTTTGATCACTTCTGGATATTCAGAAATATGAAGTACTTGTAATTTCCGTGATTTTCTGGGGGGGGGGGAATAAAGGTCTTATTTTTGTGTATTAACAGTGTATATAAATTAGTTCCTTGCATTGTAAAATGTGTACAATGCAACTTTTCTTTCATAAGGTTTGTAAAAGGATGTATTAGTGGATTAGGTCTATACTGACTGGTGCAACCATACCGACACCCTTCTAAGAGGAATTATTTTTGTGTACACCTTTAACTACCTTGCTCTTTGAATGCTGTTGTGCCAAGGATTTGTTTGTCTAGGTTTTTTTGCGTAGTTATAACATTTTAATTTTCACTTTTCTTCTTTGAAAACCAGGCAAGTTGCCTTTGTCAGTTTGAAATATTTAAAAAAAAGGGAAGAAGGTTAACTTTCTAAATCTCCTGAACAGAGTTCCTAATCATATATATTTCATCACTATTGATGGCTAGAAGAAAATAGTGAGAATTCAAACTTCTTGAAGGTGAGGGCTGATCTGAAGGGTAGGAAATGGTGAAAGATGAAGGAGTATGATTCCGTGAGTGATATTAATTCCCTATTCATTCCCCGGGATCTGTGAAAAAGATCATAGAAACCTAACTCCTTTGTTTTGCTCTTGATTTAGTTTTCTGTAGACAGAGTTATGGGATGCAGTACTGGAGCCAGGAAATAAGAAGACAAAGTGATGGTCAGCTTGACCAGTGGGAGTTTAGTGTCGGGTTTTATCTGACATATATGTATGTTATATGTATGCCTGGAAGCTCACTTGGCCCAGACAGGATTAGAAATTGTTCAGAAAAGAACTTCCCTTCCATGTTGGAAAAAGCTAATTTTTGTAGTCCTCTGAAATAAAAAAATACTACCTATTGTTAAGCAAATCTCTCATGATTATCTGCTTTTGGAGAAATTTATTTTTCTGAGGTGAAATAGCTAGTACAAAAAGCTAATGCTGTGCTAAAATTTGGGCCTTTCTAAAAACAAAGTGTTAAATCAGTATATACTTCTGGTACCATACAATGAGTGCTCATGCAAAATACTGTATCCCAGGACGACTGGTGACTAGGAAACAAAACCTATAATAAAATCACTGTGGACACCTTCATTTTTTTTCCCCCAAAGACTGACACAGAGGAGGCCAAAAATTTGGGATTACTCAGTGAATAAACACTGTGAGAAATGGACTGAAAGAAAATCTAACACATCCCTTTGGTTGTACTGGCTATTCAGTATTTATAAAGTGGTTCTGCTTATTACAAATGATTTGTAATGATTTGACAGTAGTAGTAATACCATGTGCTTTTCATTTTTTAGTTCTCTCATGACTGGGGGAAGGGAAAGGGGAGATTATGTTTTTCACATTTTTTCATATAGATAGAAGTTAATACTGCAAGTGGGTTTTCTAGATACTGAGTTTAGGAGTGATCAGCATTTTAATAAAATATCAGAGACGATACAGATCAACTGGGGAAAGGATGAAAATCTGCAGTTGCCCACAGAAATCCCTGATGCCTACAAGATAATTGTGAACTTTTGGAAATTACTTGGGAGTGTTTTTTAGCTTTGCATGTTGTGTAAGCCATTTATATGCTGCTTTTTTGCATTCCTTCCATGCATGATGGACATGTTCCCTCCCCAGACTCTGTGCTACAGTAGATTATTCGTGGGAGTCATTAGGGTAGGATTTCTTTCCTTTTTAGCAGCTAAAAGACGGAATCGCTTGTGACCTTTCGGGAGCTGGGGGTGGTGCAGTGGTGATAGCTTGAACTCTGCATGTGTGCAAACACACAAATGCCGTGGATGCACCTTTTTCCCCGAGAGTGCTTCCAAGCTGTGTGTATGTAACAGAATCTTTCTCAGGGGCTTGGTACACTTCTGTGAGTAGCTTTAATTTATTTTTCTTATTAAAATGTTTCCAGCAGCTGTACTTACAGCAAATCAGTATGTTTTGCAAGTGGGAATTACAAAAAATGTACCTCAGCATGGTACAATGTAGACATTATTTCTGCTCTTCCTTAGAGTAGCTGATTTTATAGTTTAAAGATTTGTTGATACTGGAAGGTCTATTGAGATGCAAAAATGTTCCTTTTTTTGGGTAGCACATTGGCAGCCAGCAGATTCCAGGCCAGGCAGATTGTTTAATGCTTTGACAACGCAGATCTTGGACAGCAAGAACTTTTTGCTAAACTGATTTTAAATGGAGTGTCCTGTTTTGGTATGTGTGGACACTGAAGAACAAAGTTTTCCACAAAATTGGGAATTGCAGCCTGAGCCTTCAGACCTATATACAGACCTAGTTAGCCCACCTGAAGGTATTGGTAAACACTGCTGCCTCGCATAGTAGTTTAGCTGGTGCAGATGCAGAGTAGCACAGATCAGTGTGTCCTGTGGTGCCACATAGACCTGAAGGCAACAGGGAGATGCCTGTGTATTAATGGTAATTCATGTAATGGGCAGATCTGTATACCATCAGAAGGAGAGAGATTGTTAAATTATTACAAAGGTATTGGTGATTTTTATCAAAGGCAGACTGCAGGCTGTAATGTTAAATATCTAACTGAAGTTATGTTAACCTTTGCTATGAGCTTTTTATATGGGGCAAAGGATAAAATCAGCTCTTCTATTAAATCGAGATTATTTTGCACCATAATGATCACTGTTTACACACTACACGAAATCACAGTATTTCAAGAAAGTTTCCATTTACTTTAAGAAGAGTTATTTTCTTTTTGTCTGTGATATTTACACTTCTAATGCTTCATATAGTGTTCTATCTAGAGCTGGTTATATGGCTTCAAATTTGGGGGAGACAGGAAATCAGAAAAAGTTATTTTCCCTCTGCCTGTTTTGTGTTCTCCTATGTGGCTGATTGACAGACCTGATTTTAAAATAAGAAATTGGTATGTATGTAGTAAATTTACATGTAATTGATTTAATATCAGTGTAGTAAATATCAGACACAATCCCTAGTGGTGAGCCGTTATTTCTGCTATTATAAAGTACTGACTCCTGTTATCCACAGAGTTAGATGCCACATAGCTGCAAAGCAGTGGAAATGCTGAACTGACCTTTGTCATTTCCAAAGGACTCTAAACATTCAGTTCTTGGCCAGAAGAATTACATACCATTAAAGTAAAACCTGCCTCTCTGATGTTGGTGGAAGTATTGCTGCTGCCCCTAGCAGGAGCACAAGGAGCAGCACTG